TCAATGGAAAAAAATATCCTTGGGTGCGGATTAACAAAAAAGAAAATAAATAAATATTTAATGTTCAATGTAAATAGAGCACTCAATCTTCAGAGGATCTGAAACACAAATGGAAATGCAAACTCAAGGAGGAGGGACCTGTCCCCTTTTGCCTCCAGCTGCTTTCTTGCTATCTGTATGTGGCATCGCCAACCATCTTTCTGGCACCCGGCATGCCCCAGCCTCACCCACTTCTCTGACTGGCAGCAAGCAGCTGAGGAGGCCTCCCACGGGGAAAACATGCCAGTGAGTTTGGCTACAGCAGCTGATCAAGCAAGTCCTGGTTTCTAGTACCCCCAAAAGCCCAGCTTCGGGTCTTCAGAGCACTGGATGCTGACGCACCAAGTCAGCAGAGTGGTCTTCCCTCTGCGGTAGGCCCAGCACCCAACCCTCATCATATGGTGGGCTCTCCTTTGCCTACCCCTGGCCAAAGTCAGAAATACAGCCAAGACTTGGCCAGTATTCACTCGCTCAGAGGTCTGTCTGCCCAGAAAGAGTGGTAGAGCAATGGCACTTAGAAGCTTCCAGAACACTCACAGAAGCGCTGGGCTATATGCACCTCCTGTGCCATCTCATTTAACCCCCTAACCACAACCTAATGTGTGGGTCCCGTAATAATCCCCATTTTTCCAGTGAGGAAACTGAAGCTTGTTCCAGATCATGACCAGTCAATGGCTGAACAGGACTCGCAAGGCAGTTCTGCCAGACCCGAAACATCCTCGAAACCACTTTGGAACAGACCCAGTAAGGCCAAGTTCAGGCCCTTAATGACACACCAATTCTGTGACCCCAAAGACAAGTTGAAGGCTTCAGCTGTGCCTTCAGAGACGCTGCTGCTGTACCTCTCCCCACAGCGTACCCAATCATGTGTGCAGGGTCTGTATGGGCCTCCTCTCCAAGGAGGGAGGGGCCGGCCCCTCCTGGGGCCCCAAAGGCCCCACATAATTCCTGATCGGGCTTCTCCTCCCTGCACGTCCCTCACCAGGCTCCTTGTATTTGGCCTCTCCTGGCATCTTCACCCAAAATCTATAGACAGGGTGACGGAGAACAAGACCGAGCCACATGTCGCAGTGACGTTTTCTTTTCAATGACCCTAACCACTAATAGCCTTCCTCTGCTCTCTTGCCTAAAGCATTATTGTTTCGGGGACAGGTGGAAGAAGGGACACTGGAGAGAATGCTTAAACTTGGTCCAAAGGACAACCCAACGCTTTCATCCAAAATGCTGACCAGTCCCCAGAAGCTCCCACAGCCTTGCAAATGTGGAAGAAAAAGACAAAGGCTGTGGGTGCTCGAGGAAGTGTTTGAAGGGATTCTACAGGACTAGATGAGCTAACAGTTTTCACAGGTCTGTGTCTGTCTCCTAGGACAGGGGAGTATCTTCTAAGGGTTCATTTCAGGCTGCTTTGCATTCAAAAATCCCACAAAACGTTACATATGACTTCCGAAGCCACAGCAACGGGTAAGCGTTTAAAAAGTTGGAGATGTTCACCCACATTCACAGCAGCATTAATCACAACAGCTAACATGTGGCATTAGCCCAGGGGCCCGTCCATGAATGAATGAAAACACAAAATGTGCTCCATCCAGACAATGGAATATTACTCAGCCTTAAAAAGGAAAGAAATGCTGACAACAGCTACAATGTGGATAAACCTTGAGGACATTATGCTTGATGAACTCAGCCAGTCACAGAAGGACAAATACTGTAGGATTCAACTCACAGGACATTCCTAGAGGAGTCAGATCCATAGACACAGAAAGCTGAGGGATGGTGGGAGCCAGGAGCTAGGGGAGGGGAGTGGGGAGTTGGTGTTTAACGGGGTAGAACTCCAGTTTGGGAAGATGAGAAAGTTCTGGAACAGATGGTGGTGATGGTTGCAAAACAGCGTGAATGTTCTTAATGCCACTGAACTGTGCACTTAAAATGGTTAAAATGGTAAATTTTATGTTATATGTATCTTACTACAATAAAAAGGTGTTTTTTTTAAAGCCAGAGTTCAGCTGTACTCAATAGACACGGGCACTGGTTCAGAGAACAATCATTTGNTGAACTGTGCACTTAAAATGGTTAAAATGGTAAATTTTATGTTATATGTATCTTACTACAATAAAAAAGGTGGTNATGGTTAAAATGGTAAATTTTATGTTATATGTATCTTACTACAATAAAAAGGTGTTTTTTTTAAAGCCAGAGTTCAGCTGTACTCAATAGACACGGGCACTGGTTCAGAGAACAATCATTTGTTGACATCTGTCACCAGGACAGGACAATGCTTCACCTACCTCTCAGTGGACCCCACCACTGATTATGAACCAGGACCAACAGACAAAGAAGCCACGTGCCAGGAACTCAGTACCCTAGCAGGTGTCGGTCACAACAATGCATGTGAGCGGCACCCTCCCCCGGTGATGAAACCCCCAGTGCTGGAAAAACAAGCTTTGTTCTCAAGAGCAAAAGATTTCAAAAAAAAAAAAAAGCCTGCTGAAAATATCAGGGGCATTTGCTGATAATACTGTCCTCGATATTTTGACTAAAATGGATACAGAAATAAACCCAGAGGAATGTCTTAAATTATATCCCAAGACATATGAGCCCGGCACATTTCAAACAAGCTCCTAAATTTGGAGAACTCAGCCTTGGGATGAGAGTGTTCACTGTTTTCCCTAGTGCCCCATCTAGAAGTAGCTCTCTCATTTCTAAACAAAGGGGTCTACCCCCACCAAAAAAACACACACCGCACATGCTTTTTTGTGTTTCAGACTTGGTGCAAACCCCAGCTGTCGTTTGTTAGCTGTGTGGCCTTCGAAGTTAAGTAACCTCTCTGGTCTCTAAAATCAAGGATAACAGAGCTGCCCTTGCAGCTGTAGTTTAGCTTCTCTCTCTCCCTGACCTACCAACATTCTCAAGATTTTTCCACAATATAATAACCATCGTCCCTTCCCCCACCCACAAACCTCCAGGTTCTCTTGCCCTTCACTGCCCAACCTCTCAGAAGAGATGTGGTCTCCACTCTCTCACCGTCTCACAGATGTTTCCTCCCTGGGGCTCGGAGGGAGTCCTGACTGCCAATTTCAGAGATTCTACTCAGGACTCACCCTGCGTGGCTTGGCTTCCTGGTAGCTTTGGCCTAAGGTGAAAAAACCCTTCTTTCTCCCTTCCCCTATCTGTTGTGATACAACCCTTAAGCCATCCACTCACTTTCTTCCACCTCCATCTCATGTTCACTAATTCTTCCCAAGGAATTTCATGATGTAGGAAAAGGCAGATGAGACAATAAACAAGTAATGAGTGGGCAGGGGGGACTTCCCTCCCTGGATATCAAAACATTATAAAACTACAATGATTAGAACAGTAATGGCCCTGCTGCAAGGAAAGACAGATGTATTTACAAATACCCAGAACAAGACCCCAAATCAATGACGAAGGGGTAGATTTCTGTAATAAACAGCACTGAGACCCCAATTCGTTATTTTGGGGGAAATGGACACCCCTTCAAATCATATACACAAACAGATCCCGAATGTCAGGCGTGAATTTTTTTAAAGATGATACCTGAAATAGAAAAACTGGGAGAAAACATTTCCTTTATGGATAGACAGGGACTCCCTAAGCATAAAGGAACAAGAAATCCAGCTCTGGACTCCACAAACCCTTTAAGCTTCTCTGTCAACTGACATCTGGAGCATCTGAACAAAAATGCCTAAAGTCACAATTGGTAAAGGGTTAGTAGCCTACATCTGTGAAAACTGCATATGGATGAATATTTTAAAAAACCACTAAGTCCTAAAGGATAAATGGACAAAGGATGTGAACAGGAAGAGAAAACCCAAAGGACAAACATGTTTTAAAAGGTTCAACCCTGATAACAATCAAAGAAATGCAAATAGAACAGCGACAGCACATCAGCTCCTCCCTCCAGTGAATTATGAAAGATTTTTTCAAACAACACTCAGAGCTGCCCAAGGTGTTCCCTCTCCGCTCCCGCTGGGCTGCTACAGCGTTTCCGGAAAGCAATTTGGCAATCGGGAGCGACCTTTGACCCAGAAATTTCACTCCTGGAAAGGCCAGGTTAAAAGAAACAAATGCTCCATAAAGCTTTAACCCCAGAACGTTCGTCTCCCTCTTTGTGGAAACTAGAAGGAATCTAAATACCCAAGGACAGGAAACGTTAAGACACACAGCACCACTAGAAGGAGGTGCCCCAATAATTGTGGAATAAGGATTGCTATTTTGCTTTTTTTCTTTTCTTTCTTTCTTTTTTTTTTTGAATCCTGCCCCGAGGATATTTTGTCCACTGCTTTTCAGAGAGAGTGGAAGGGAGAGGGAGAGAGAGAGAGAAACATCGATGTGAGAGACACACATAGACTGGTTGCCTCCCGCACGTGCCCGGCCCGGGCTCGGGAATCCAGCCTGAAACGGAGGTACATGCCGTGCCCTGGGTCAGAATCGAACCCAAGACCCTTCAGTCTGCGGGCCGACGCTCTAACCACTGAGCCAACCTGGCCAGGGCTTGCTGTTTTCCTTTGTGCATTTCTTTTTCCAAATGTCTATCACAAGCAATGTTACTTCTATAATCAGGTAAGAAATAAATATGTTTTTCTACACTGAAGTCTATACTCATCCATTCCTACCCTTCCCTTCTCTCAAGCAAGAGTTGTCCAGCAGAGACAGCTGCTGAGCACAGGAGTTGAGAAATCCCACCCACCACTTGGTTTTGTAAATAAAGTTTTATTCACACACAGCCACATACACTCGTTCATGTGTGGCCTGTGGCTGCTTTCCCACTCCGGTGGCAATGGCTGAGTAGTTGCGACGAGACCGTACAGCCTGCAGAGTTTAAAGTACTGAACATCTGAGCGTTTGCAAAAGGTCTGCCACCTCCTGTCCAGGGAGAGCCTCCAGCTCCCTCCTAAACAAGGCACAAGAAACAGCTGAGGAGCCCGCACACCCCGGCCTACCTTTCTGGCAATGGCTGTGAGTCCAACACCGCTCGACGAACTGTCCATTGATGACAGTGGCAGGGCAGTTGGTCTTGCCCTTTGCAGTGCCTGGACAGATGTCCCCACACTCTTCATTGTCATCTTTGTTGAGCACGATGTAATTATCCTCCACCGAGTCCAGGATGCGCGACCAGTCGATGGTCGCCAGGTAGCAGAGCTCATTGTTCTTCTCAATGCGGACGGACCCCCGGGTGATGTTCATCAGGCTGTAGAGGCCGAGCTCCTTCAGGTGAACCATCTCGAAGATGACCAGCGCATAGTTGAAGAAGAGCCGGGAGCCCCGGATGACCGTGAGGTTGGGGAATAGGTCCTTCAGGCTCTCCAGCCCATAGACCCGAAACAGCAGCAAGTAATCAGTGATCATGATGAGGTTGGGGAAACTGAGGTCTCGGAAATCCTCGGGCCTCGTTTTGAACATCAACAGTATCTGCAAATGTCCTTCGATGACCGAGCAGTTGGCCAGCTCGTGCAGCCTCGTGAGGTTGTTCCGGATATCCATGCTGGGACACACTACAAGTGAAAATATGCAGAAAGCATGACAGGTGAGCTCACAGGCAATGGGTGGGTTGGAAGAATTAGTGGCAGGGCCAGCTTCATGGACACTGGATCTGGGTCCCACACTTACTCAGAAGGGTCCTGCCCTCTCCCACCCACCTTAAAATCCTTAAATCATTCTGCACATAGACCTACAAATTCTATAGCCAACCCAGATTGGTAGCTTTTCCTGTAGTGCCTGGGTCTAAGTAACTACTTTCGAAAGGCAAAGAAAATAACTCCTTTGGCAGTACCTGTTAGAAGCCTTAATGTCATCGCATGGAATATGACATGATGGAGACATTGGGAGGGATTACTGGGGATTGCATAATGTGTGTGGCAGGTGCAGGAGGGGAAAGGAAAGCCATCTCCACTGAGTCAAAGGTGAAGACATTCAGGAAATGGATTTATGGGGATCAAGGTGCCACAGGGAGAGCTGAATTTGTTTGTCACTTTTCCCACCTCGCTGACTCTCAACTTGCCTTCCTGCTGGGCAGGCAGCTAAGGCCTCAGTACCTTTCACCTGGGAGTGGCAAGGGCTTCTCAGCAAGTCTGTTCTCTCCTTCACAAATACCCAGTGTGCCCATTCTCCTGCAGGTGGTCCCTCCCAGGCTCTGACACCCTCGATGGCTCCCCATGATCCTGCACTTTCCTCCTGCAGCCTTCAAGGTTTTGTCCCTCTCTCCCCTGCGCCACACTAAATAGACCGGCCCATCACTCACACAATTCCAAGGCTCTGTGTGCCCCCATAACATAACCTGTGAGTACAATAATGCAGGGCAGGCCCGCAAGCAGTGCCTGGCACATAGTAGGTGCTTATTAATGTCTGCTATTTTGTTATTGTTTATTTCTCCAAAGCATTATCAGTCACCTCTAGACTTTGTGCCCTCACTTCCCTAAAGCAAGCATGGGCAGACATTTTCTATAAAGGCTCAGATAATAAATATGTTCAGCTTGAGGGCAGTCTGCATTGAGACTACTCCACTCTGCCATTATAGCCTGAAAACAGCCAGAGATAATATGTGAATGAATGAAATTGGCTGTGTTCCAATAAAACTTTATTTGCAAAAACATGCAGCAGGCCCGAGTTTTGCCCTCTGGCTGTAGTTTGGCCACTCCTGCCCTAGTCCAACGCCGTCCAAAAACTTTCTGAGGTAATGGAAGAGTCCTGTATCTGTGCTGCTCATTCTAAAAGCATCAGCCATTTGTGGCTCTCAAGCTCTTGAAATGTGGTAAGACTGAGGAACTGAATATTTAATTTTACTTTAGCTAATTTAAATATAAATAGACACATGAGGCTAGTGGCTACTGCACTGAAGAGGGGAGACCTTGTCCTGTTGGCTATCAAAGCCCTTTATACCTTAGCTCCCTACTTCTATATCCCGCCAATCATCCTTCAATATCCATTTCAAATGCCACCTTCTCCAGGTAGCCTTCTCTGATTTCCTTTCCTCCATATACCTACTTGGATCTTGCTCCTCTTCTTATACTTGAGTAAACATTCACCAGAATCAAACTCTTTAGACAGCCTCTCCTTGCCAAAACACAAACACACACATACATACACACACACACACACACAGCTCTCAGCACCTGGAATATAAGGCTCAGTACACAACCCCTACTTACTGTATTCCAGGACACTAAACTTTCCCCTACTATCTTTGAGGCAAACAGATTGTTCTAGAGAAGAGTGGAAAATCCTCTTAAAATGAGCCCTGAGAATGACTGACAAAAGCAGCACAAATCAGAAAGAAAACAGCCAAGCAATGAATTGGGGAAAACAAAGCAACAATGTTCTTGGGTCACATTCCGAACAGATTAGGCTAAATCTAGAAAAAACACATACTCACTACTCCCTCCCTCACTAGGAAGTTGGGAGGCAACTTGGAGAGGACAAGGACACCAGTTCCAGCGCCACACACTCACGCCACCCAAGCCCAGGATAAAGCTCCCTGTTACAGTCACATCAACAGCACATACATACAGAGATCTCTACAGGTACTGAGCCACTGACACCTCTCAACAAGCCCCATCCCCACCCCACAGATGGGAAAATTGGACCTTTAAGAGACAAAGCCAACCACCCAAGGGCACACAACCCACCAGTGACAGGCATGGTTGCCAGATCTGGCAAATAAAAATGCAGGACACCCAGTTAAATTTGAATTTCAGATAAAACAATGAGTCATTTTTTAGGGTAAGTATATCCCAAACACTGCATGGGATATATTTATCCTAAGAAAGTACTCATTGCATATCTGAAATTCAAATTTAACTGGGTGTCCTGTCCTTTACCTGGTAAAATACAGCTTCAATTCAGCCATAACTCTGGGCTCCTCAAGACTCATATTATTTCATACACGCGCACACACACACACGCACAGGAAACTGGTGCAGGTGCAAAGAACAACCGCCTACCATCCACTCCGGCTGTGACAGGATCAAAATGAGATATGAACATGTATTCAACAATTAACCAGCTGTTGGACATCAGGGAAATGCAAATCTAAACCACTACGAGATACCACTTCACCCTGACAACTACTGCTAAAATCATACAGCTGGACAACAATAAGTGTTGACAAGGATACAGAGAAACTGGACCCGTCATACATTCCTGGTGGCAATGCAAAATTGTGTGGCTGCTGTGAAAAACAGTGTGGCAGTTCCTCAAAAGGTTAAGCAAATAATTACCATATGACGCAGCAATTCCACTCCTAGGTATATGCCCAACAGAAACGAAAACACACATCCACACAGAAACTTGCATGCAAATCCCCGTAAAAACATTAGTTATAATAGCCAAAAAGTGGAAGCAACCCATATTCCCATGAACTGATGAGTCAACAAAATGCCATCTAGCCACACAGTACATTATTCAGCCACAACAAGGAAAGAAGCAGACACTGACTTCACCATGGATGGACCTTGAAAACATGATGCTCAGTGTAAGAATCCACTCACAAAAGACCACAGCGGGGTATGATTCCATTTACGTGAAATGTTCAGAACAGGCAGTCCATAGAGACAGAGACAGAGACAGATTAGTGGTTTCGAGGGCCTGGGGAGCGACGGCTAGAAGACGGGATTTCTTTTGAAAGAGGTGAAAATGTTTGAAAAGATTGTAGTGATAGTTGCACAACTCTGCGACTGTACTTAGAACTACTGAATTGTAAACTTTAAATGGGTAAGTTGTATACCACTGAATTACGGCTCAATAAAGTTGTTATAAAAAAGATTAAATGACTATAATTATAGGGGGCAATAAAGAACTGCCTTTTTTAAAAATTTCCAATTACTCTAACTCAATTCATTAAAGCCATATGTGTCCCTATTAGTCTAAGACAATAGACAAATTTACTGCTGGGACAGAAATTACCCAGAGGATATCTGAAATGGTGCCAGAAATACATAGATGTAGGGCCTTTGCTGGCTTTTAATGCCTCTGGTTGGAAACCAAGGATGCTTCAAGTTTTTAATAAGTGGCACCTGGGTAATCACCACTCCACACACAGGTAGGGAAGGGCAAAGAAAGGCAGGAGGAGGAGGGGATCCTGGTGACGGCTAATATTTTCTGAGCACCTTCTATGCAAAGCACTCGGCCCGTGTTCTGGAGCACATGTTCCCTCGCTAAATTCTAAAAATCATCATCAGAGGAGGTTTCTTTTTCACACAGACTCACACAGACTGTTCAAAGCGGTGCCACTGGGATTGCAAAGTCTGTGCTGTAACTGCTATGTTACAGCTTCACCATTAGTGTTTTTTCACAAATGTGCCTAATGAAGAAGCATGTGAATTGGACTTAAGGAAACAATGAAATAGTCGTTATGCAATGACAACCTGGAGAAAGCGCGTTAAAGAGAATTTCCTTCATTCACTTCTTCAGCAAATACCTGCTGAGGGCCTGTTCCATGCCAGATGCTGTTCCAGGTACCGGAAGTTCCAGAGGAAACAGAGCAGATGCTGCCCTGGATCTCACAGACCAGTAGTCACTATCAACTACCCAAAGCAGCTTAAAATATAACTGAGGAGGGTGGCACCAAGGAAAACTCCCTGTGCTAAAAAAGATCATAAAAATGAGCTATTTGACTCGGTCTGGGACAATCAAGGAGGGCCTCCCAGAGAAGGTGATGCCAGGACTGAAACCTAAACAAATGGTGCAGTGAGAATTATTGTTATGCCTACTTCATTGGAAGTTCAAGGGCCATGGCAAATTATAGCTTGTCCCTCTGAATGACCAGGTGTGCAGGATCTAGAGTATCACTATCTAATAGAAATATGTGAGCTACACATGGCATTTGAGATTCTCTCTAAAAAGGTAAAACATGAAATTCAATATATTTTATTTACTCCAGTGTATCAAAAAACTTCACTTCAACATGTAAGCAATACTAAAAAAATATTAATGAGATCCCCTACAGGACTTTTTCCACACTATGCCTCTGAAATGCCACTGTACTTTACACATGCAGCATGTCTCAGTTCAGATGCTAAATTTTCATCAGAAATGCTTGATCTATATATAGGTAGATTTTACAAAGTGACTCATTGAAACTATAGGTTCATATCCCCAAGTTGTTCCAAACATACGAGTTTTCCAATAACAGGATCAAGTACTGTTTTTTTTTTAAATTTTAAATAAACTAAAGTTAAATAAAACTTTACATTTGCATTTAAATGAATTAAAGTTAAGTAAAAGTAAAAATTCAGCCGGGTGCTGACCATAATTTCAAGAGCCCTAGTGTGGACAGGGGCTCCAAATTGGATAGTGCAGATACAGAACATGTTCATCAACACAGAATTTTCTGCTGGACAGTGCTGGTCTGAATTTCCCCCACGGCCAGAGGAACCTGAGAATTTTCCAGAGAAGAAGATTGGCATGACAGCTGTCTTGGAAAATGTCCCCTCTTCCCTGGTTTCCTCTCCACCATGAAAGCAGCAAAGGACGTGAAAGCAGCAAAGGAGAAGTAAGGGGGAAGAGAAGAGGTGTCTAGAAGATTCTGAAAATCCTTTACAATGCTAAGAGTTGTATTACGCTTCCTGCTTTCAATCAAGAACATACTCCTTCCTTAGAATCAGCATTCTTAATATGCTCCCCAGTGACCTACTGTGGGGTCGCATGTGCCTCTCTGCATTCTTTCCAGTCTTAACAGTGCTCCCTCCAAAACTCAGGGGTCCTGCACCAACAAGCCCCGGTTCAGAGGTCAGGCCACCACCTGCACCAGGTTGGGGCACAATAGAAACCCAACAGATCCGGCTTCCCATGCGGGCACTGGCACCTGCCAGCGGTGTGATCCCGGGTCACATCCTTGATTGCTGTGTGCCTGTTTCCTCACCTGCAAACAATGACAACGGCAGGCTAAAAGCTCTGAGGGAGTAGAAGAAAGGCGTTCAATCTCCGCTCGGAGCTACATGGAACTAATTCCCAGATTTATTACCTTCAGAAATTAAAACCTGGGCACACCGCATTATCAGATACCCTGAAGAGTCTCTGCCGGCCTGAGAGACTGGCTCTTAAAATTGACTTTCGCTAAGGAAACACGGGGGAGCTGCAGCAGGTGGCAGGTTCTAGAACAGCACGTGA